CACTCTTTGGGTCTTGTCACTGGATCTAACCAACACCTTTATCCACTGTGTCATGTGTCCTCAAGGCCGGAGTGTACAACAGCCTAAATGTTGTAATAAATATGGTGACAAAGGTCCGAATAATATAAATAATGTACATAATACCTCATCTCAGAAATATGAACAGATATTTTACAGTAGGTCGTTTTTCTCATAATTTAGTGGTAGCTTTTTTTTTTTTTTTTTAACAAAAAACCAAAAAAAACACATTTATTTGTTATAATATATCCAGGATAATGGCCAGTATGGCAATATTTGACTATGATAGGCCCACTAGTATTGATCAGAAGCAGGGGTTGCATTATACATGAGCTATAGGAAAAGAAAAAAAAAATTGGGATTTTTCACAAAAGAATTCAGGGGTTGTACTATACATGAAGTAGGCTTATATACGACTATATATGAAACTTACATACACTTTTCTAATTTTCTAGTCTTTAATGTTTTTTATTTGTAATTTTTTATCTAAAAAAAAAAAAACAGTTTATGGCAGTGAGTGTAGAAGAAAGATAATTATCATTTACATGTCACCAATTCCTAAAAAAGATTTGAAAGTGTATTTCTTTTAAGATTTAAAACGTTTCTAAATTATTGGACTTTTGGTAAAAGTAGCAATGCGGTTTCAATCTGGCTCTTATCTCTTTAAGTCTTGCCATTTATACTTGATGTTTTCTTTTGGAAATGAGGCAATTCAAGATGTGAGCTATGTGATTTTTTTTTTTTTTTGTTAGTGGATACCCATATTTGAGTAGACGTTCCATTCTTTTTTAAGTAATATTTTATTTCGTCTACTTACATGAATATTTGGGAAATCTTATTAAAGAAAAATACCCACTCCGGCAGGATTTGAACTTGCATCCTCCTTAACCAATAAATGAATTAATAAATAAAACATCCATTAATTCTTTTGGATACAAAACTGAGTAGTTATGAACGTTCAGGAATCTAACAACAAAGATGTGCTTAAACTTAATATACAACCTTGCTGAAGCATAATGCTCTTCATAGCCAAGTCGGTTAGAGTACATTGGATCTAATGTTGGAATCCTGGTGGTGGAGACATTTTTCTTTAATAAAATTTCTCAAATATTCAGGCCAGTAGGTGAAATAAAATATTATTTAAAATAAATGGAATATCTAATCTAATATGGGTATCCACAAAAAAAAAAATTTAAAATGATAAAATAATGAAAAAGAGATAAATGCCCAATTACATGTATGCAAAAGTTCCAAACATTTTTTTTTAAATTTGTGACAGAATGCACAATAGAAAACTATTTGTTTTACATAAAAAAGAAATGCTGCAATTTTTGGCACAGACCTTATCTATAAGTTAATATCCTGAATTTTGATCTGAAGTTTTCATTGTATAATGTTTGAGCTATGTGATTTATATCCAACATTGAATTAAGTGCATTGACAAAAGAGGTTACACTGAAACATAAATATTAGTCAAGTAAAGTAAATGATTTTGTGTCATTGGTTTATGGACTTATTATTATAACTATGTAGAGCTTTGTCTTTACACTTTCAAACTTTTTCTCCACTCTGCAATGTCTTTCTCACAGATACAAAGTTGAAGGCCTATTTTCACTATTTTGTGCAGAAGAAATCCATTTACGTTAAAAGCAGGCTGAGTGCAGTCACCAGCCGATGCCATTAACTCCATGATACAACGAAAAACCAGGAAAGAAACTTTCCGTTGTTTATAACAGAAAATGTTTCCAGGAATAGCCAGGATGTGATACCTACTGGGTCGATAAAATAACCCAGTTGTGCTGCCTATAGGTTAGCCTACTACTTCTGAATAAAGTCAAGGGTAGTAAACAAAAGGGGCGTAACTCTATCACTGTTTCTGTAACAAATCTTCAGACGAGTTCCATTCTTTAATTCTAACCTTTACAACCAGACCACACCCTGCTACTTCAACTCCTGGGTATGACAACTGTATCCAACAGCAGAGTCTCTAATCAGGAAATTGGATGTTTTGAGAAGTGTTGTTCCCAGGTCCACCCTGACCTGGGGTGGTAGCACCTGTTAGGGTCCTAGCTATGGGCAAATAGTGAACCCCCCCAAACAATAAAAAAAACAGTACAAAATACATTTTTATATAAAAAAAAAATTACCAACAATACCTATTTATAGCATAATGACTAACAATATATATATTTATAGTAGAATTACCAAAAATACGTTTTATAGCAAAATGACCAACAATACCTTTTATCTGTAGTTGAAAGCATAGAATCATGTACAAACTATATTTAATTGAAGCCATAAAGTTGTTTTAAAATATTTAGATTTCGGCATTAAATAACCCATGGAGATGTCGATATGCCGCTAAACAAAATCAACCAACCAAACAACCAACATAAAAGAATTCTTTCGGGACATTAATCTATATAATATCCTAATCCATTAATCTATATAATATCTTACAATTTTCTTAAAGAAATCAAACTGTATTCCATAACTTCAATGAACTACACACATATTGAAATTATGTCCACATATCCATATATAGGCATAAAAATCTGCGTATCATCTACCATGTATTCAATTGTGAAAGCAAAATAACATATATGTTTATTACTTCAAGCCCCCAAGAAAATTAAATTTTGGCATTAAATAACTGATAAGGAGTTTGTAAGCTATAAAACAAATCAAACCATGCTACTTCCACAGAGGAAAATCGGCCTCATTTCCCCCCATATTCCAAATGTAAGGAGAAAGTTTGGCTCAGACACTTTCTTCCCAAGAACTGCTTATTTAGAATGGAGATGCTCCTCTGAACACTACAATCTTAATATCTTCAAGTCAGGGGTCAACCAATATCTGTTCTCATTTTTTTTTCTCATAATCTTTACTTATTGATGCTCTACCTTGAGTTGCTGTTGAGCCTTATATTGAGTGAAATTTTGTTTTGATTAAGTCTTTTATTGTTTTAGCTGTACTTGTGACAAATTTTACATTTAGTTAGATAACTTCTTTTCAGTTATAATTATGATAGTTTGTAGGTAGAATAATATATTTCTTTGATTTGTTGAGTTTGTCAGGAATATACACAGCCTGGTGAGGGTTGGCCTTCATCTGCATATCTTATCCAAGATGCATCACTTCTACTGCAACTGCAGTTCATGTGGTGCCCCTAGGAATTTGGTGAGTTACAGGACTCGTGATCAAAATATATACATAAACTTGTTCCGTGCTGAGCTTGTGAGTTGCTGGTAATCCGGTGGCAGCTGTGGACTCATGCCTCAACTCTTCGTTCATGGGACCAATATTCATTTGTGAGGCTATATTCCCAGGCTTAAGTTGTTTAAGCTTTCTTATGGAGGAAAACTTAGCCTTTACCCAAAGATGCCACTTCGATAGCCTGTCATTACTCTATTGATATTTGAATGGCAAATGTTTAAAGGAACTCCATTCTTCAGTCTCACCAGTTCAGGCTTTTACAGCTTGTGCACGCCATACCACTTCGACAAAGTCGAATCAGCCTCATTTCCTCCATATTCCAAACGTAATGAGAAAGTTCATCTCTCTCTTTCTTTCTTCCCAAGAACTGCTAATTTGGAATGGAGATTCTCTGTACACTACAATCTTAATATCTTCAAGTACAGTACCAATCAATATCTGTCCTCTTTTATACTAAATTTCACTCAATACAAGGCTCGAGAGCAACTCAAGGTAGAACATCATCAATAAATGAAGTTGTATATGAATGTGATATGAAGTGAAGATTGAGAAAAAAAAATTCATATACAACCTTATTTATTGATGCTCTACCTTGAGTTGCTCTCAAGCCTTGTATTGAGTGAAATTTAGTATAAAAGAAAACATTTATTCAATCAAATATGTCTCACTACCTTTCACCATCTTTGAGACAGCTTCATTATTCCATCCTCCCAGAACTTGGTATCTTTCTGGGTGAAGAATTTGTCGAACTGTTAATTTATGGACCCCCACCCACCCATATGGTTGGTCCCCTGAACATTGTAATCTTGACCTCATCAAGTCAAAGGTCAATCCTACTATCACCTCTTTGATTCATGCAACACACCTCCTTCATAATGGCTTATGGCCACAACATGTAGAAACACCAGTTCCCATATGATCACTGAAGTTAAGCAATGTTGAGCTTAGTCAGTACCTAGATGGGTGATTGCTTGGGAATACCAGGTGCTGTAAGCTTGGATGTGTGGGTGATGTAATGGATAACGGCTTGGAATTGTTAATCAGAGAGTGGAGTTCCAATTCCACTTGATTTCTATATATTCACTTGCATGCAAATGCCTGTCAGGAAAGATATGAATCCACATCTTCTCCCCCACCAGCTATGGGTTAATTAGTAAGACTTGTATCACTAAAGCATTATCTCTAAAAAAAAGCATCCTGGGTAAGTCGATAAACTACAACCGTGTCCTGGATATGACGATAAACTACATCTGTGTCTTGGTAAGGAGGTTTTGAGGAATGTGGAACCACCTCTTAATTGCTGGTGTTCCCAGGTCCACCCTGACCTGGGGTGGTAGCACCTGTTAGGGTCCCAGCTATGGGCAAATAGTTAACCTTGAATGAAAAAAAATATTACCAGCTATACATTTTTGAAAAAACAATATCAGCTCTACATTTTTGAGGAAAAAAAAATATTAACAGAAATAGATTTTTGACAAAACAAAAATATTACCAGGAAAAAAAAAGTTGTTGGCATTAAATGACCCATTGAGGTTGATATGCTGTAAAACAAACCAAACCAAACTTTAAAAACAAAAAAAAACTCTTACAATCTAAAAATATTATATGGCTTTAAATAACCAGCAAAGCGTTGATAAGCCGTAGAAAATTAATGAATGAATGAATCAACCTCATTCATCACAATCATTTTAACAGTAACCCTCTACCTTGAGTAGCTCTCAAGTCTTGTATTAGAAGAACTTTTAATATTAAAAACAACCATATATGTTGAAACACAGGTTCCTGTATGATCACCAGAATTAAGCAATGTTGAGCCTGGTCAGTACCTTGATGGGTGACTGCTTGGGAATACCAGGTGCTGTAAGCTTAGATGTGTGGGTGGTGTAATGGATATGAGTGTGGAATTGTTAATAGGAGAGCTGAGTTCCAATTCCAGTTGTGTTTATTATTGACTTACACACAAATACCATTGAGAAAGGTATGAATCTACCTTTTCTCCCCAAGCTATGGGTTAATTAGTAAGACTTGTATCACTAAACCATTATCTCCAAAAAAAAAAAATTTTTTTCATACAATCTAAAAATATTTCCTGGCTTTAAATAACCTGCAAAGGGTTGATAAGTCATAGAAAATGAATGAATGAATCATAAATCATAACCATTTTAACAGTAACCCTCTACTTTGAGTGGCTCTCAAGCCTTGTATTAGAATAACTTTTAGTATTAAAAAAAAGAATAAACTGTAAAGAGAACCTCAATATATGCTCTGTTTTAAATCGTATTAAAAGAGCAGAGAAAGTAGTTTTATTTTTAGTGGTTGCTTTCTAGAGTTGTAAATTTGCACAAAGCCAATGATGTAATTAACTGTCTTATTTAATATTTTCCTTGCATAATTAATTTTCTAAACATACAAAAGATAATGAAGTTGTTTTTAAATGATTATATTTACAAATGACCGTCGTTAAATTTGAGACAAGAATTAAAATCTCCTTATGGCTCGGATTTTTTCTTTCATAAGGACGTTGGCGGCTAGAAGCGGATGGCAAAAAGGGGATCAGTATTTTTGTTCGACCTTACTGATGACAGCTGGCTCATAGAAGCGAAGTTGACCGTCTCCCACATGAGGGGGGGGGGCGCAGACCAATGCTATCATGATAAGACTAATAAAACAGGGCAACAAAAGAGTGCTTGTTGGATTTTTAACAATGAACCCAGGCCTTCTTTTTTTTTTCTTTTTTTTTTTTTTCTTTCACATGCCCCCATTCCCAGCCACTACATCACATGTTTGCTTTTCTTAATCAGTTGAAGAAAAGAATATTTTTTTTTTCTTTCTTCCTTTCTTTCATTTTCAAACTGTGGCTTTTTCAGAGTTGGCAAATATTTTTCTAGATTTTTTTTTTTTTTTTTTTCAAGACGAAAGTCAAATGATGCAAAGAAAAAGAGCAACTAATGTTAATGGAATTGGACGGATGCCACTTATTAGCATGTTCAGTGACATTTATTTGATATTTATTGTGTTTTTTAGCATGTATATGATTTGCATATCTTTTTTTATACGTTCCCTTACAGCAGGATAAAAAGAAAAAAAAAACCTGATTAATACGAATATTAAGAAATTAAAAGAATGATACGTCATAAGATTTATTATGATAGTACGGTAGTCCCCACCTTATTCAGGGATATGACCCCTCTGAACAGATGCCTGAAATTGTCAACCTAATACTGTTTCTTTCCTATATATAAATTGGCTACAATAAGGCTTAATTTATAAATTAGACAAAATAAAAGATTAATACCAACAACTAATAATAGAAGAATATTAGTATATTGCTACTAATATTAGTATATTGCTGTATTATATTATATATTAATATATACTAATATTAGTATATGTTATAGTATATTGTTATATTAAACAATATGCTAATAGACTAATAATAGTTATATGGCATTTAGACCAGTTGTTTTTACCATAGATCTTATTCGGTCCAATAAGAGCTTAGCAACAATAACTAATAATAAAATAGAACAATTTTAACAATATACTGTTATAAAAATTATGTGACAGAAGTTTTGTTCTTAGCGTAGATTTTATTAGACACAATAAGAGATTAACTATATTAATTGATAATAAAATAGAATAATTATTGCAATAGACTGTAATAAAAGTTATGAGACAAGTAAGATTTGTTCTCGCCATAGGTGTTTTTCCTATAAATTAATATAATATATATAATTCTATATATAAATCAATATTTTCTATAAATATTTTCCTATATAAATATATTATATATAATTCTATATAAAATCAATTTTTCTATAAATATTTTCCTATGAATAAATATATTATATATAATTCTATATATATAAATCTATATTTTCTATAAATATTTTCCTATGAATAAATATATTATATATAATTCTATATATATAAATCTATATTTTCTATAAATATTTTCCTATGAATAAATATATTATATATAATTCTATATATATAAATCTATATTTTTCCTATAAATATTTCCCTATAAATAAATATATATAATTCTATATACTTAATAGAAATCTTATAAGTATAAGAAAATATACTCGCTTGGAAAAACTTTGGTATATTGATTTGCAAATAAACAAGCCAACACCAAAGGGGAAAAAAGTTATAAAAAAAGAAAGAACCAAGAACATGTATGTTAACCAAAAATAATCGTCCAGCATACCAGTTTAAGGCCCAAAGAAAAAAACCCCGATGTGAGTATCCAAAACAACTAAATAAAGTGCTCAATACAATGAGTAGAGCAGACCTAGTTAAACCTAGAGAGCCAGACAAATCTATCAAGGTTTCACCTAAGTGGATTGTCAGGGAAGGCCGGATTTAATTAATTTATCTTGGTTATTAAAAAAAATCAGAAATAAAATTTATCTTTAAAAGTCTATTCAATTCTCTCATGTCTGTGTAAATCTATAATTTCTATAAATATTTTCCTGTAAATAAATATAATATATATATATATATATATTTATTAAAGACATTTTATTATGTTTAATGTTTTTTTATAAAAAGTATTTAAATAAATGCTCTGTTTGAATAAACAGTAGAAATTTTATACAGTTTCGCTCATAGACAGTTCTATGAAAATTTCTAGGACATTCAGGCTGGTAAATGTTATTTAATACTGTTTATCTTAAACAGAGCATTTGCTTAAATACTTGTATCTATAAAATAACAACGTTAAACATAAATAAAAAAATGTCTTTAATAAATAAATTGTCTTCCATTTTCTTAATATATATATATATATATATATATATATATATATATATTTATATATATATATATATATATATATATATATATATATATAATTCTATATATAAATCTATATTTACTATAAATATTTTTCTTATAAATATATATCCATAGCAATTGTTCTAATGAGCTTTCCTCCTTGCTACCCCGACTGCATGAATTTAAATGTAGTACTAGATTGGAAAATAGGTCTCATTGTTTAAGTAGCTAAATGTAACTGTAAGTTCTATTCTAATATTTTATTTTCTCACACTTCTTGCATGTGGAACTCCTTTCCAATTTTTTGCTTCACTGCCAACTACAATCTTCAAAAATTTAAATGCAATGTCAATTGCCATCTTCTGTCTCTCTGAATCTCATCCTCATCCTGCCCTTTTGCCTCGCTAAAGTTTTCTCATTCTCTTTCACACTTAGTAACCGCTTGCATCTTAGTGGCATTATCACCTAACTTGAGGGGAAATGATTAAAAAAAAAGACCTTATTGGGCAAAGTAAGAGATTAACAACAATACCTAAGAATAAAATTGAACAATTTTAACAATATACTGTAATCATAATTATTTGTCGGATAGAATATTTGTTCTTCCTGTAGAAGTAAATAATAAATAAAATAGAGCAATTCTAACAATATATTGTTAAAAGTTATGTGATAAATAGATTTTTTTCTTACCGTATATCTTAGCAATCCCAGCATTATTCTTTTGTTTTATTTAGGCAATAATCTTTAACAAAAGAAAAAAAAAATAATGTTGGGTTTGCCAAGACCTACAGTAAGAACAAATCTTCTTTGAGACCACGAAAAAGTAAACTATGATAAGTTAGACTCTACAGATATTTTTGGTTTAATTTGTGTTAGTATTATTATTAGTCATACTTTTGTTTTTGTTATTATTATTATTATTATGATATAAAAAAATGTTTAATTAAAGTCTTGAGTGCTAATTTTCAAAGCAGACCCCTTGCAAAAACTGAAAAACTTTGGTATGGTATATTACAAAAGATATGTATAAAAATAAGAGTTTTTCAGTTGTACAAGTAGAGAGGGACTGTTTTGAAAATTGAATGAATGATGACCTCTGACATTGTTAAAAAAAAAACAAAAAAAACACAACTATCTCGACCACAAATTATGTCTCCTTATACTCAGTTTAGTCCAAATGAGTGGAAATAGGATAAAGAAGATTCTTGCATCACTCTTTTAAGAAGCTAGCCTTGAAAATCAGCATTCAAAATTGAAGCCTTGTAGCAGGGCTTGAACACTAATCAGACATCATGAGACATATACAGATACCTTAACTGGTATTTACTTAGCTAGAAAAAGGCCAGAAATATTGAGTAACTCAGTAGGGATTGTTTGAAAGCCATGTTAATCTCAGTATATCCAGTTAGCTAAGAGATTTGTGAGACCTTCAAAGGATGAGCAGCCAACTCCAAAAGTCTATATGTGAAGAGATAGATAACCAATATGTCAGTTCTTCTCTGAGACCCCCCCCCACCAAAGTGCTGGGTGGAGTGCCTTCATCAACATTGCTGTAAAAGTTCCCCTGTTGATCAAAGCAACAGTCACCTGCCTCCTCACACATCAATCCAGAATACTTAACCCTAACTCTTCCTAACCATCATCAGTTTGAATATCGCCCCATCAATCTTAACCTCCTGTTACTGATCACTCTTGTAGCTTTCAGAGTATCTGCCAATGATCTGTTATTGGAGTAGCAATAGACCATTGGTAGAGCAGGCATATTGAAGATCTCCTGGATGAAGGATGACATAAGAAAACCAGCATTGGTAGCCTTCTCAAGAGAAAGAACAAGAAAAGCAAACACTCTTTGTCACTCTCATCAATCTCTTTGACTGCCAACTTATTGACACAAGCTTATTACTGCTTCCTTTTATAAAGATTATGTTTTGTTTCCATCATCCTCTGTGCTTGCACATGTGGCATCTGAATATGCAATTGCTTTCAATTTTCTAAATTTTGTCACCCAAAGAATGAAACCCAAGTTTCATTCTCTCTGACTTCAATTTGGAAAGTGCATTAGTAACCTCAAGGAATATTTTAC